CAGACTATCTCAAAATCTATACAGATGGATCGAAAAATAATACACAGGGATTAACAGGGTACGGCATTTTCATACCTAAAGCAAAGCTAAACATCAGGAAAAGGATACCAGAACATTGTTCTGTGTACACCGCAGAACTGATGGCCATTAAAACTGCAATAGAATGGCTAGCCACTCAAACACACCAAAAAGTCGTTATCCTATCAGACTCCCTAAGTAGTATCAAATCCATCGAATCAGATTATTCCAAAAGCAGACAGGGCATAATCCACCAAATTAGGGATATCAATCAAATAATCAAGAATAACGGAAGAGAGGTAGTCCTTGCATGGATCCCCTCCCACATCAATATTTTCGGCAATGAACAAGCTGACAAGCTAGCCAAGGAAGGGTTGCCACTAAATGATATAGAAAATTTAGAATACAGCAGTCAGGAATTCACAAGCATAGCTAAAGATAAAATTAAAAATGCATGGAAAACCCTTCTAAAACAAGAGAATACTCATCGCTATCAAATTGATAGCAATCTTGTAGACAAGGTTTACGTCAATCAACCCTCAATTAAAATATGCCAACTCATCACGAGGCTTAAAACGATAAACGTAATAAAAGACTTCACCTTTACACCAATTAAATGCCCATGTGGACAAATTGCGACCACGTCACACCTGCTAATCAACTGTAATCAATTAAACAAAGAACGTCAATCCGTAATTAAGAATCTAGCAGAGAGGGGAAAAACTCTCTGTCTCAAATCTCTCCTTTCTCCACAACCTGACGATAGATACTGGACATCACAACTTGTCTGGGATTTTATTGAGAATATAGGGATGACCAAATATATAAAATAATAAAATTAATCAATTAAACAGTAGGGCGGAACGTAAAAATGTCCTCTAGAAGGAAGCGTAAACCGCCCTACACTAATAATAAATATAGGCATGACCAGATACATAAAATAATAAAATTAATCAATTAACAGTAGGGCGAAACGTAAAAATGTCCTCTAGAAGGAAGCGTAAACCGCCCTACACTACCAATAAAACTCTTTATTCTTTGCACCTGCTATCACATGTCTCTTGCTGTTATCTATTGTCTTCTGTTCATATATATAAAAACCTAATTATCCTCTTTGTCACTAATCACATTGTAAATTATTGCACCTTGTATACATAACATGTTATTGTCTGCGATATCACCTCGGTGGAAGCGGACGTAAAATACAACTAACTAACAACAACATAGTTTGGCATAATACAACTCAACATGGTTAGTCTTCTGTTAACTACAACTGGTCAATAGTAAACAATTATATAGCTACCATGTTTTGTCAACACTTTGATTAAGTATGATATTTGGCCACTTTTTGCCATACATTTCAAATCTCCGTGTTTTTCAACAAACTGTTTTAGTAGGTGATATACCACCTCGCAAAATAAGAGTTAGATGAGGAACCAGGAGTCAGACAGGTACTCATGTAATGACAACCACGTGTTCTACATCAGAAGACCTTTACTCATATTACTACAAATGATGAATACAAAAATATAAAACCCATAATTTACAATTTACTCCATATTCTTGTATGTCTGTTCATTTCCTTGTACCAATTTCCTTCTCCATGTGTGTAACATGTGCATATTGATCTATATAATGTCTAGAACTAGGTGACTGTTGGGGCTCAAATATGAAACAGAAGATTAACAGAAATAGCCGGTGTTATGCAAATCCTATAGATTAAAGATATAATTATCGGTCATCTGTATATTCTAGGTATTTGAATTAATAAAAAGTGATGGTGGAGGATATGTTGTAACAGGAAATTTAAGATTTCTCAAATTGGTCGATGTCCAAATTCAAAGAACTATCTTTAAGATTATAGATATTCTTTAATGCGACAAAACATTTGAGCAACCAATTCGAAGAACTGTTTCTTTTAAATTAAATAAAAAATAGAATTGTGAGTCAAATTGTTCGGGGTCCATATATAGTTACTTATATTTATACGAAAACATAGTTCTTCCAATGAGGTATCCATTTAGAAGAATATTTTGGATTGTCTTGTTTGTTTTGTTGTTTTTTTTCAAACTAAAAAAATGAGGTTCAAGTAGAAATGAAAGTTACTCTATAAGAAATACATCTGCAAATATCAAAGTTGTACATGACCAGATGATAAACAGATGACGGAAATACTGACTTTCATAATTCTCACTGGGTATTTTGGTTTCTACAATACTGGTGGTCTCTTTTATATAAATCATTTAACATACATTTTAAACATTTGTTAGGTTAAGACATCCGATTCCAACTGGTACAAAAATTTTGAAACAGCTAGATTTTGGTACTAGCTTCAATGACAATGAACACACACAAAAAACTTAATAACCGTTACAAAGAAAATACCCGTTCGACTTAAAATGGTATACATGTATAAAAGATTTGAATTTAGTCATCTCCTTGGCCTCCGGTGTCGTTGTGGTCTAGTAGTTCAACTCCCAGCGTGGACCAAGAAGAACCCTAAGAAAGTGTGTCCGGTTGTTCGCTAGCACGCATGAAGTTGGAAATCAAAAAGGTCACTGACCCGATAACATTCTCCTCTTGAATCGAAGATTGTCCTCACGGCAGCTCAGTGAGTATGGCGCTTGTTCACTAATCAGATTTTTCCGGGTTTGATCCTGGTTTGGGTCGAGAAAGTTCCACGGGATTTACCCGATTAGTTCCCCTTGACAGTGATGCAGGACGGAGGGCTTGACAGGGAAGGGCGTTGGGGCGAAACACCGAGGCCCAGCGAGAGTTCTAAATCGAAATAAAAGTTGGTATTGGTGCAGCTGTCCGAGCAAAACTCGCTGCATGGCGTGTATAAGTCTTTATTATCTCGATAAGACGTTAATCCCCATAAAGAAGTTCATGCATTGTGCTGACGAGACGTTAAACTCCACCCCATTCCATTCTAAGTTCTTATCGATTAGTGATCGATTATTGATTACGTTGTACCTTACCAACGATGATCTTCAAGTTATTGATCAAGGGCCATAACTCTGCCAGTAATGATCACATTCATCAAAAATCAATTAACTTCAATTCGTGGAGGCACAACTTGTAATTATTAAACATATCAAGTTTGGAAGTTGAGCAAATTTTATAACTCTTTAACCCCAAGTCTAAATATACAATAGATGTGTACCTTGTATTTTGCATACCAAAACTAAAGAGCCGAAAAGTCTTCCCAGACCTTCGCTTGTTATGCGAAAGGGATGCAATAAGATTTCACTAACTTTGCAACTTAATCATTCGAGTTGTACCAAATAGACTGATAATACAAGTGTTATTCCTGCAACATCTCCTACGTGACAAACACAGATTTTAAAATTTCGAATTTTGGTCTATAAATAGACAGCCCATATGTCGCCGGGTGAATAACAAGTATGCATTCAGGACTTCAGTCAATTGAAATATTATTACAAGAGGCTTCAACTCGCCACGACAATCGATAGTATAACTAAGTAAACGTAAGAAATAGCTACTCGTAACTTGGCAATAAACAAAACAATTCTTATTCAAGTGATTAATTAGTGTCACACTCTCATAATCTACTTCAGAACATCAATATTTGATTTATTGACATAGATACGACCTATGCAGAGGGTTTTACTCGTCTAATCTGATGATAAATTGTTTAACGCGTTTATCTTATAACGAAAAGAAACAAAACGATTGAAAGTAACAATATATCTTATCAAGAGCAATGTGGACAAATATTTACTCTGTGACAATTTATAAATTCCAAACAAATTAACGTAAGATAAGATACAAACTAAATGGTTAACGGCAGCACAAGAACACTAGTAAAATACCAGGTTAACCTCTTCTGCAATAATAATAGTCACAAGGGTGTATACATTCTGTGTGCACATTCCTGTATTATCTAGGTATTGGAATTAAAAGAAATGTCAGCTGAACTTTATACCCGATGAATGAATCAACTTAAACTGTCATTTAGTTTACGATCTAGGCTTCTACAAGAAACAATTTATTTAATGCACCTGTCATGATTGAGTGAAATTATGATAGACGAGCGAATGAAATGAAATGAAATGAAATGAAATGAAATGGGGTTTAACGTCCTACTGTTTTGCTCCGAACTGGGCTAATGAAGACGGGCATACGCCATACAGTGTGCTATGAGGGAAATTTTGCCCGGACAGCGGCACTACGGCCTACTCTTATATCGAATTCCAACTGTCAAGGGATCTTTTACGTGCACGCCAATGTGTACACGGGACCTCGGTTTTTCGTCTCATCCGAATGACTAGACAGCTGTCCTTGTCAGGCCCTCCGTCCTGCATCCCTGACAAGGGGGAACCACGCCGGAAAATCGGAATGAACTTTCTCGGCCAATGCAGGGATCGAACACCCGACCTCCAGGCTAACGAGCGAATGAAACTTGCTTATATAAACTCAACTCTGAATTACTATTCTTGTATTTACAAAAATAGAATAAGTTTGGCTATACTGACTAGAGTTAAATGATCTTGGTGTTCTTATACAAGTTCTATATGTGCACCAGTTGACTAATGTTCGATTTTATAATATCGATTATTTGACAGTTAACCATTAGGCTAAGATTTTAGGATCATCAGATTTGTCCAAAAAAAAAGTCTGATAGCCCAAATAATATTGCTCGAGTTTATTTGCCAAGTCGGCGGAGTTTAAAAAATATAAAGAGTTCTAAGTTAATGCTGGGTTTAAAATGTTAACATTTTGCCCGACTGTCGGATTAGCTGATCATTATGCACACTATACCATCTATCATAGATATCTTTATATGTTTAGTTTACACTAGCTGTTCACGTTTGGTCAGAAAGTTAAACGGATGAATTTTAGAAAAGGCCCTGCTTAGAAAGTACACTGAATACTTCATATAACCCAAATAAAAAGCAAGATGCATTAGAATGAATAATATTGGCGGGGTTTTGAAAATGTATAATACGCCTACAAACCTTATTAATTTATTAACTAGTTTGGAATATGTGAAGTTTCTGCTGCTTAATAATCGATGATATGTACGTAATCTTGGTTCATGGGTACTGGAATGTTATTCTAGTCTGAAACGAAAAATAACCAAACTTTCATAAATATACATGTATCTTCCAAATTTGTAAAGATAGGTTGCCAGGCAAAGAAACATACACCCACAGCAGCTAAGTCGTCAACAAGTGAGTAACAACCCATTTGATTTCTAATTTTGCCCAATTCTCACATTTAGCATACAAAACATTTAATATCAATTTCCATAATCATTTGAATTGATAGGATATTTCGTCTTATGAGCCTTAAACACTGTATTTAATATAAGGCAATCGGATATTAACTTTAGCCTCTAAAGCGTCCACAAGATTTTTTAAAGTGATCAAGGGCCATAACTATGGCAGTAATTATCGGAAATCGTTAAAAATCAACAGTCTTCTTCGTCTTTTGACCTTAAACAATAGGATTCTTCATTTCATGACCCTAAACACTCTGGAAATCTTTGAGAATCAATAGGCTTCTTCGTCTCATGACCTTAAACACTGTGTCAATCGGATAGTTTTCTTCGTCTTATGACCTTAAACACTGTGTATAAATTTAAAGTCAATCGGATATTAATGTTAGACTCTAGAGCTTCTACAAGATTTTTTAAATAGGCCAAGGGCCATAACACTGGAAGTGCTTGTCGGAAATAGTTGAAAATCAATAGGATTCTTCGTCTCATGACCTTAAACACTGTGTTTGGATTTAAAGTCAACCGGATATTAACTTTATCGTCTAGAGCGTCCACACAAGCAATTGTGGACGCCGGCTCACCGGCCGCCGGACGGATGTGGGAGTCGACAATATACGACCACATTGTTAAACATTAACACGTCTTTTGACGTGTTAACCAATACACACTGCTATTACAATAGTGAGATTTCGTTAAGAAGTATTAGACGCAAGTTTAAAATAATACATTATAGTGTTACTGAACGCGTTTCAAATGGCTAAATTCAAATAAACGGTCGATTTACAAAGTAATGGGATACATTTCACTCAAATTTAAATAAAAAATCGCCGGTGTAAACTAAGTTTAGAACATACGGCCCTGTAGATATATGATCATACTGTGTGGATTAAATAGTACATTATTACAAATAGAACATTTCTTAATCATCGGCATATTGAAGGGCGACTTTCGACGTTTCCAAGGACAATAACTATAATACAGTTCTCAATTCCATAAGGTATACAAATAAACATAGCAAATATTTAAAATAAAATCATTGCGCAAGTCTAAGTTTATAATAATAGTCAATTTGTTGTTCCCAGGTTCAATTTTGAAATAAATAGACGAACTTCATTAATTACTTGCTCATTTATTTTTCTGTAAGGCATTGGCCAATCAAAGCACCTACCACTATGCTTAACTAAAGAAAAAATGCCCATTATCGAACTTCTTCAAGGTACTGATGTAATGAAAGTATACCAAGTTTCTTTCGCTAGCTCAATCATTTAGAACCGACAAACTCAGAAATGCTGAGCATCGAATTTAGATATGGCATTCACAGACAGACGGACGAACCATTTTGATACTCCACTGCTTTCTTCGAAAAACGGGGGAATGTATAAAATATAATGCTTGACCGTTATCGTAGAAACAATGTTGGAAAACCACTTATCAAGAGAAACATACACGTACATAGCAAAATGGCTAGCTATACATAGAATAGAAATACATTACAAATTAAAGTGTGTTAATAAATATGAATGTACATCACACATTATTTTTATTTTTACAGATTCGACGTTTTATGCGATAGCTTATGTCAAATTTCACATTTATGAATATTAACACTGGAATACCGATTCCTTGTAAATAATTTTACTAAAGTAGTAATTATAATTCTAAACAGCTATTCTCGAATAAGATTAGTATCAAAAATTTTTAAAAAAACAAATAAATTTTACCCACAAAGATAAACGTGTACCTGGTTATGTCCCGACAGCACGAATACAAACTACGAAGTAACTACAGGCTGTGTTTTGTACATAGGTGTAGCCTATATGTTTTCCATATAGATCAATGTACATAATAATATGTTATTATACAGACTATCTAGTGAGTCAAATATGGACACCATATGTATTTTAGTCTAACAAAACAAACCAAGATATCACACTGCTCTTCGTCTTCCGCTAGATCAAGGTTCTATTTTTTGACGTGTCCTTGTACCCTAGAGTCCATTAGCGCCCCAAACAGAAGTGCCATATTTATTTTTAAAGGCGATTTAGAACATGTGTGTTTTAGGTGTACTGATTCAGTGTGATATACATTTGTATTGTATAATTTAAATAAACAGAACTTCCCGCTATAATTTCGGGTTTCGGAGAGAGGGTCTTTTCTAGCCTGTTATAGGGTTATAATATGCAGGTTACTGCTAACATTTAATTAATCTCGGTCACCCAGTACCTCCTAGTCTTCAATAGTTGTCTAAATGATAGAGACTACCATTTAATTACCTCTTGCCATCCAATAGTCGATCACTTTAAGGCGACTCAATATTTTGAGCTGAAGCTTTTAGACAACGTAAATAGTCCAATACACAAAAAACACATACTTATGGAAAAACAGCTACTTATTTATTTGGGCGACGTTTCGAAGAGTATTCTCTCAACGTTATCAAGCTAATACAGTAATACAAGAATAATGAGATCATATTTTCCCTCTAACCTGTTGACTGTATTGATAGAGGTTACTGCCACATCTCCATATTGATGGCGATAATAATCTTTAAGAGGCATTTAGTAACTGGGTAGAGCAATACACAAAAAACACATACTTATGGAAAAACAGCTACTTATTTATTTGGGCGACGTTTCGAAGAGTATTCTCTCAACGTTATCAAGCTAATACAGTAATACAAGAATAATGAGATCATATTTTCCCTCTAACCTGTTGACTGTATTGATAGAGGTTACTGCCACATCTCCATATTGATGGCGATAATAATCTTTAAGAGGCATTTAGTAACTGGGTAGAGCAATACACAAAAAACACATACTTATGGAAAAACAGCTACTTATTTATTTGGGCGACGTTTCGAAGAGTATTCTCTCAACGTTATCAAGCTAATACAGTAATACAAGAATAATGAGATCATATTTTCCCTCTAACCTGTTGACTGTATTGATAGAGGTTACTGCCACATCTCCATATTGATGGCGATAATAATCTTTAAGAGGCATTTAGTAACTGGGTAGAGCAATACACAAAAAACACATACTTATGGAAAAACAGCTACTTATTTATTTGGGCGACGTTTCGAAGAGTATTCTCTCAACGTTATCAAGCTAATACAGTAATACAAGAATAATGAGATCATATTTTCCCTCTAACCTGTTGACTGTATTGATAGAGGTTACTGCCACATCTCCATATTGATGGCGATAATAATCTTTAAGAGGCATTTAGTAACTGGGTAGAGCAATACACAAAAAACACATACTTATGGAAAAACAGCTACTTATTTATTTGGGCGACGTTTCGAAGAGTATTCTCTCAACGTTATCAAGCTAATACAGTAATACAAGAATAATGAGATCATATTTTCCCTCTAACCTGTTGACTGTATTGATAGAGGTTACTGCCACATCTCCATATTGATGGCGATAATAATCTTTAAGAGGCATTTAGTAACTGGGTAGAGCAATACACAAAAAACACATACTTATGGAAAAACAGCTACTTATTTATTTGGGCGACGTTTCGAAGAGTATTCTCTCAACGTTATCAAGCTAATACAGTAATACAAGAATAATGAGATCATATTTTCCCTCTAACCTGTTGACTGTATTGATAGAGGTTACTGCCACATCTCCATATTGATGGCGATAATAATCTTTAAGAGGCATTTAGTAACTGGGTAGAGCAATACACAAAAAACACATACTTATGGAAAAACAGCTACTTATTTATTTGGGCGACGTTTCGAAGAGTATTCTCTCAACGTTATCAAGCTAATACAGTAATACAAGAATAATGAGATCATATTTTCCCTCTAACCTGTTGACTGTATTGATAGAGGTTACTGCCACATCTCCATATTGATGGCGATAATAATCTTTAAGAGGCATTTAGTAACTGGGTAGAGCAATACACAAAAAACACATACTTATGGAAAAACAGCTACTTATTTATTTGGGCGACGTTTCGAAGAGTATTCTCTCAACGTTATCAAGCTAATACAGTAATACAAGAATAATGAGATCATATTTTCCCTCTAACCTGTTGACTGTATTGATAGAGGTTACTGCCACATCTCCATATTGATGGCGATAATAATCTTTAAGAGGCATTTAGTAACTGGGTAGAGCAATACACAAAAAACACATACTTATGGAAAAACAGCTACTTATTTATTTGGGCGACGTTTCGAAGAGTATTCTCTCAACGTTATCAAGCTAATACAGTAATACAAGAATAATGAGATCATATTTTCCCTCTAACCTGTTGACTGTATTGATAGAGGTTACTGCCACATCTCCATATTGATGGCGATAATAATCTTTAAGAGGCATTTAGTAACTGGGTAGAGCAATACACAAAAAACACATACTTATGGAAAAACAGCTACTTATTTATTTGGGCGACGTTTCGAAGAGTATTCTCTCAACGTTATCAAGCTAATACAGTAATACAAGAATAATGAGATCATATTTTCCCTCTAACCTGTTGACTGTATTGATAGAGGTTACTGCCACATCTCCATATTGATGGCGATAATAATCTTTAAGAGGCATTTAGTAACTGGGTAGAGCAATACACAAAAAACACATACTTATGGAAAAACAGCTACTTATTTATTTGGGCGACGTTTCGAAGAGTATTCTCTCAACGTTATCAAGCTAATACAGTAATACAAGAATAATGAGATCATATTTTCCCTCTAACCTGTTGACTGTATTGATAGAGGTTACTGCCACATCTCCATATTGATGGCGATAATAATCTTTAAGAGGCATTTAGTAACTGGGTAGAGCAATACACAAAAAACACATACTTATGGAAAAACAGCTACTTATTTATTTG